TAAATATAAGAAATCTCACTCCGTGCCAGGCTCAGGTACGCACTTGTAATGTTCTGCTCATGCATAATCAAAAACTCAGACAATCATGTGAAGAAATGTCAAGAAAATACATACAGTATCTCAGAAAAGAGAGTACTCCCCTCACCTTTCAGTAAATATTGCATTTTTTCATGGAACAACACTTTGATACAATGTAAAGCAGTCAGTGTACAGCTTATATAAGAGTGTAAATTTGATTTCCCCTCAAAATAACTGAACTTCACAACCATTCATTTCTAAACCACTGGCAACAAAATTGAGTATATCCCTAACTGAGAGCGTCCAAATTGTTCCCAAAGTGTCAGTATTTTGTGTGGCCACCATTATTTTCCAGCACAACCTTTCTTGTCTAAATTTAAACTTACTCATTTATAGATATATTAATATTTTATCATATTTCCATGTACATGCTTATTATTTTATTATTTAATATGTTTTTCATACATTTTATTTTACTATAAAATAAAATGGTTATATTTACATTTACTAATATTTAACAATTTGGATGGAATAGCTTGTCAATAAATACGTGGGGATCAGTAAAGTATTTTCTGATTCTGATAACTCTTGGACAGGGAAGTTCACCAGATCTTCACAGGTTGCCATGGGATCCTCTTCCACTTCTTCATGGCATCAGTATGTTACAGTACGTTGGCATTCATGGTTCCCTCTCCACAACCAGCAGCACTTATTAAGTCCCAAACCATGACCCTCCCACACCATGCCTGGCTACAGTCCAGAAACACTTACCTTTGTCCTCACCTGAGATGATGTCACCAGACATGGTTGACATCATCTCATCCAAATAATTTTTTGTTGTTCTCTTCATGGTGGCTATGTTGAACTTCCAGTGACCAGTATGAGAGGGTGTGAAAAAATAATGCTGCCTTCATACCTGAGACCTTGCAACAGTAATGAGTGACATGACACCAGGCTAATTGGGCACAAATTGGGTACATAGGGGTGTACTCACTTTTGTTGCCAGCTGTTACGAGATAAATGTCTGTGTTTAGTTTGTTTTACTTTGTATCAATGTGGCAGATTGTTGTGTTTTGTGCCCTTAGAAAATTATTCTTACCCCAAAGGCTTTTTCACATTTTGTCATGCTACAGCCACAGAGCTCAGGAATAATAAGTTAGAGTTAACCAATTAAGCAGTGGAAGAAAAATAATACAGGATTTTTCAATAAAGAATATCTGAAAATTTGATGTGCATTTTTATGCACCCTCCTTGTGTCAATGTTTTGTAAAACCAGTTTTTGCTTCGGTTACAGTTGCATGTTTTTTATGATGGTTCTGTAGCAGTTTGGCACATTTAGATGCTGCTCTTTTTTTCTAATTTTTCCTTTCACATTTCCCCTGGTCAGACATTTTGGCTGCGGAATCTTTGTAAAAAGCAATTTACCAGTGTTGCTGGAGATTCTTATTTGGATGTAGGTCTGGACTTTGGCTAGGCCATTTTAGCACACTAAAATCCTTCAGTCTGTCCATCGTATTGTAGCTCTGGCTGTATGTTTACAGTCATTGTCCTGGTGGAAGGTGATCCTCCCCCAGTCTTTAGTCTGTTACAGTTGTCTTCTAATATTGACTTCTGCTTAGCTAATCAGCTGTAACTAGCTTTCATCTTAGGGGTGATGTGTGACGGTCACTCTTCTGTTACACATTTTGTTTTGCACGTTTTCCAATATAACTTCAGATTAAAAAAAACAGATTGAAAAAAAAAGACATTTAAAAAATTATTTCCAATAATTTTGTACCATGTTGCTTCTTTAATTTTTTTTGCTGTGAAAAAACTGCTTCTCCACAGGTCTGTAATAAATCCCCTGACAGGTATCAAAAAATAGAGATACTACTCTGTGGCTATTCCAACTTGGGTGTGTGTGCGTGTGTGTGTTTTGCAGGTGATGGCCCTTCAGAGGTTACCAGAGTGTTTGATCAGACTCAGTCTGCCAAAGAAGAGTCAGTGAACCAAGGCTCTGTTAAGGTCTCTATAGAGCAATTCACTTTGTTCAATTGTTAAAATGAGTTAGCTTGAATCAGGATGCTGGGAAGCTGCAGCATCACTCTTTTGGCTCAGTCTGAACGGTGTTGTCTCCTCAGTCTATTCTGAAGAAGAGTGTGACTATGCAGCACTCTCCTTCTGCTGTTTATCACTACGACGAGTCTGGAGGAGGAGGAGCCGTCCACCACAGCAAAGTCAACGTCCTCTTCCAGGCTGCTAAGAAGGATCTGCTGCAGGTCATCCAGCTGCAGGTAGCCTTCACATTAAATCTTTCAAGTTTCTCCCAGTAAGCTGAGGTGGATGTTTTATGGTACTATGATATCACTATAGAAAGGAACACATATTATCTGCTGGCGTTGCTCAACAGGACCCCAGTCTGTTGGAAGGAAGGGTGACCCTTCGCCAGGTCAAAGCTGGGTGTGTGGTAGCCCACCAAGGAGATCAAGTGAGTCCAACAGAAACATGAGATTTTTCAACTGTTAGAATGAAATGTCTGAAATTTTTAAAAGGCTTATAGACATGCTGAGGGCATGTCCTTCTACAGAGGGGAAAAATAAGCTGTAGCAAAATAGCAGCAAAAAAAAGCAAATATTCAAATAATCCAATATTTTTGCAGCATAGTTGGAGCTTTATATCTGTTTTTAACACACAAATATGCTTTTTGTTAAAGGTTTCCTTTTGAATACTTTAGCTAGGCTCTTTAAGAGTTTCTATTTTTTGACCTAACTGGTTCTGTTTTAGATGAGACTGTGGTTTTGAAAAACTAACAATCCTTGTGATTGTCCTCTTTCAGGATGTGAGCGTGGCGTTCGTCATCTCAGGGCTGCTCCATGTCTACCAGCGTATGATTGACCGTGAGGAAGAGAGCCTGCTCTTTGTCACCCACCCTGGGGAGATGGTGGGTCACCTGGCCGTCCTCACAGGGGAGCCCCTCATCTTCACCGTGCGAGCCCACCGAGACTGCACCTTCCTCTCCATGTCCAAGGCCCACTTCTACGAGTAGGACCACACTGTCCACAACACCTCTGTCTTTTCATCATGAATAGTGTGTGACTATATCGGTGTGTGTAACGACAGGATAATGCGCGAGGAGCCGAGGGTGGTGCTGAACGTAGCTCACACGGTGGTGAAGAGGATGTCATCGTTTGTCAGGCAGATCGACTTCGCCCTGGACTGGATGGCCTTGGAGGCTGGCCGCGCCGTCTACAGGTACGCTCAACCAGGAAACGCTTCACGGTCAAACTGAACAGATGTCCAACTCAGCATTCAGTCCAAATGTCTGCTTTTAGACAAGGAGACAAGTCAGACAGCACCTTCATCGTCCTCAGCGGTCGGTTGCGATCTGTCATCGCCAAGGATAACGGCAAGAAGGAGCTGGCTGGGGAGTACGGCCGCGGCGACCTGATTGGTGAGGTGAGCTGCCGACGCGTTGGTGTCCACAACCCTGTTAAATCGTTCAAGAGAACAGAAGAACAGCTCAGATTTCTGCGTCTGACCAGGTGGAGGCCCTGACACACCTGAACCGAGCCACCACGGTCCACGCTGTCAGGGACTCGGAGCTGGCCAAGCTGCCTGAAGGAGCACTGAACTCCATCAAGAGGAGGTATCCTCAGGTGGTCACCAGGCTGATCCACGTGCTGGGACAGAAGATCCTGGGCAACATGCAGCAGGTCAACGGGCCTCTGACCGGTAATCACAAAAAGATTGTTTCCAAACCGCCAAAGCTGCAGTTCCAACTACAGTTTAGTCAGTACTGCAGTGAAGTCAATGAAGTGGTTTAATTGGTTGACTGGTTTACTCCTCAACTCTCTGACTGCACTGAGTTTATACAACTCAAGTCCTTTAATTAAAATTTCGAAAAGCAAAAAGCATTTTTGCTGCTTTTGTTCTTTTGACTTGAGCTCAAAGTAACAAACCAAGATCAACTATTATCAAATTTTAATGGATTTATTTAAAATATTTTATGCAATCAAAAAGAAGCAAAAGAAAACCAGAGCAAAAGAAACCCAGCAAAAACCAGTGTTGGTTGTTTTCTTTTAGTTTTTGATCAGAAATCTTTTCCCAACAGAATTGGTTTTGTGTCCCCCAGGTCGTGGTCTGGGCCTTCACACGCCCACCAGTAAGTGGGATGCTGGGAATCCAGCCTCTAATCTGTCCACTGTGGCCATCCTGCCCGTGTCGGACGACGTTCCCCTCACCACCTTCACCCTGGAGCTCCAGCATGCTCTCAGTGGCATCGGTACACACACACACACACACACACACACACACACACACACACACACACACACTGCTTTCTTACTGCTGTCTTCAGAAGCTGCAAGTGTCAGGAAAACTCTCCACATCTCACCTCTTGTTGTCAGAAGGGATGTTCATACTGTGCACAGTGCCAATACCCGTCAGCTTTCTTATATTTCAACACCTTATATTAACAATATTCAGTGAAATTTATAGAGAGTTGATCTGACAGACCAACATAAAGTAACTCATTACTGAGAAAAAAAATAAACACCTGAAAAGATGAGGTGTGAAAAATGTACCTTTATAGTATTTGAAGATTATATAATCTGTATGTTCTGCTCTGCCGCCATGTTCTAAATAAAACACATTTGTTCCAAAAGTTACTTATTGTATGAAGTACAAGTACCAATTTATTAGTATCAACTACTCGGTATCAGCAAGTACCTATACTGAAGTACTTGTACCGTCTGTAAAAACCTGGTATCAGGATTCTCCTTACTCCTAGAAGTTTGCATATTAGCCAAAAGCCTTCATTTTAGTCTCATCTGACCAAGCACTTTCCTCTACAATAGAAAAAACTTCAAATGGTGTTCTCTGTGAAGTTTTTTCCAACACTGGGTTTTCTTTCCAGTCCTGGCAATAAGGACTTTTTTTTTTTACCATGATCATAGATCTCTGCAGCTCCTCCAGAGGGACTTTGGCCTCGAAGCTGCTTCGTTCTTAAACATGTCTTTGCACCATGACAGTAAGGTGTCTCATGTCTCATGGCTGCAGCTCAGCCATTCAGAGCTCCATCAGACATTCAAAGCTTGGGATGTTTTAGAAGGGAATTCTGCTCTACACTCCACTGAGTCCAGTCTGACCTGTCTGCTGGCTCGTCGATCTCTGTGACCCTGTTTGTTCTCTAATTTTCTCTAGAACAGAACAGCTGCATTTACCAGCTTAAATTACACACGAGTAGAACCTACTCGCTATTATTATTTACACCTCATTTTTTAGGGGGAGTTGGTGTTAAACAGGTTGAATAAAAATGCACAGCATGCATTGTAAACTTTTATTGAAGACTTTGAATCCCATGTATTATTTTCCTTCTACTGTTCAGCTCTATGCTGGTTAAATAGTTTTGTAAGGCATTGATTCTACAGGTGGATCTGACATATTTTCAGGGATCACATTAAGGACCTTATTTGGTTTTACGCAGCTTCAGACTTATGGAAAAGTTACTTAGTGAAATACTGCATCTATGCTGCTGTATGTTCCTGTTCTGACTGTATTATTGGTCCCCACTGTTCTGAGGAAATCTGCTGATAGACCAAAACAGGAAGTAAAGACTTTTATTTCATGAGAGAAACGACAAGATTGACAGGAAGTTAAACTCTTTGTCAGCACATTAACATTTATTTATTAGTGCCATGTCATTCTGTGAAGGATGTTGCAATGTAAACAGTTTTCTTGTTTTTTTGTTACGGTCATCTACCAGGCCCTACCTTACTGCTGACTAGTGACATCATCAAACAGAGACTGGGCTCTGCTGCCCTGGACAGGTTAGTCACTGATTACACAAACTCTAAGAGACTTTTCCTTTTTCATTGCGTAGATGCTTTAGTGTAAGATCTGCAAACATGGAGTAAAACTTTCTGGTTGATCATATAAAATTTCCAGACAATATTCATTCATTTAATCTGCTGAACTCTTTATTTACAAAAGTGTCCATGAGTACCGTCTGTCCAGCTGGCTCGGCCAGCAGGAAGACATCCACCGGATAGTCCTCTACCAGTCCGACTCCAGCCTCACACCCTGGACCCAGCGCTGCATCCGCCAGGCCGACTGCATCATCATTGTGGGCCTGGGGGAGCAGGAGCCCACCGTGGGCGAGGTCAGAGACATCCACCTCTATATACTGTATGATCACAGAGAAGTGAATAACATAATAACATTAGCTCAGACTGCTGGAAGACCTGATCTGGTTCTGACCAAAAGCTGTTTGAGTTAACAGTCCATTTCACTAAGTTGTGTGTTAGGCTGCAGTAGTCATGGTGCCTTCGCTGCCCCTTTTCCACCACCGAAAACTCCAACACTGGACCTGTAAGCATCTGAAGTTCCATGAGTTTTGGAGCAACAGAGGAAGCCAACCTGAACTGCCTCAAGATGATATTTGTTGTGATTTGTCTCTTTTTAAATAAACTGCATTGAATTGAAAGTCTTTGGCTACGTTCACACAGCAGGCAAATGCTGCAGCTTTTGCGCTGCAGTCTGAACGGCCCAATTCCTATCATTTCACCCCAAAATAATCAGATCTGTGCTTCTTCCATACATGGAACTGATTCAGATGCATATCTGATTGTTTTCAAAGCGTCTGCAGTCAGAACAGTCATATCGTAGTTTATCCGATTTTACGTCATTGATGTGAGACATGCATCATAATTCTGCACCAGAAGAAGCCAGACTCGGTAAATCTGGATGTAAACAATGGCTGAAAATTCTGACTATAAACTGATAAAGGAAGTATGTCAGTGAAGCACATCACATCCTCGTTCAGACTACACATCCAGCCAGACTTCCTACAGAAGCCGCACTCAATGCTCTTCAAAACGCCATTGCTAATAGTTTCTATTAGCTTCCTATGTCTTCTTATGATTTTGTGGCTGTACTGTGGGCTCTAATTGCTGAACAAATGTTAAAATCGGTCCATAGGCGGTTCCATCCATTATTACTTGCGTAAACAGACCACTGCTATGTGACACTTATGTCCTAGGGACAAAAACTGTTCACACAGAAGTCTGAATCTGGTTTATTTTGTAGCATGGATGACCACACAAAAAAATAATAAACTTGATTTCAGCAAAAAATCGGATTTGAGAATCAAGATGCTGTTGACTAAATCAGATCATCAGTCATTTGTGAAAAACGTCATGTGGCTGTGGCTACGTTACTAATCATTGTTTATTCTAAAGGGGTCAGGCTGGTGGTCATAATGTTATGCATCATCAGAGTCCATCTGTGTCTGCTGCAGTAGTAGCCTTTGTGTTGTCAGTCAGAGATTCACAGAAATCTCTAAATGTCACGCTTCCTAACAAGTTATATCTTCCCACCTCGTTCTGCTCAGTGATCATAGAGCCTCTGACTCTGTGGCATCAGTTAGAAATGTTGTATTGTTTCTATGGTAATGTTTGGTCGTCTGCTGCCTCCTGAAAACCGTCCCTGCTGCAGCTGGAGCGGATGCTGGAGAGCAGCTCAGTGCGAGCCCAGAAGCAGCTGGTGCTGCTGCACAGGGAGGACGGCCCGCCGCCCAGCGGGACCGCCGAGTGGCTCAACATGCGCAGCTGGATCTCCAGGCACCACCACCTGTCCTGTCCCCGCAGAGTGTTCTCCAAAAGGAGCTTACCCAAGCTGGTACTGAACCTGAATCTCCGTGGGTTATAAGGCAGGACTCACCTGCTGAGCCTTCTAGAGCATTTTCCACATTGAAGCTTGTTTCTGTTTTGCAGAGAGAGCTGTACGAGCGCGTGTTTGAAAAATCTCCGGATCGTCACTCCGACTTCTCCCGCCTGGCCAGGATCCTGACAGGAAACAGCATCGCCTTGGTTCTGGGTGGAGGGGGCGCCAGGTACCCATTCATTCAACATTAGACACATTTCTCCTTCGGGAACCTTCCTTTCTGTCCATTTCTAAACTTAAAAATTCCCAGGGTAGAAATGGACCTCCCTCGTAGAGAAATTATGCTTTGGATCGGGGGTGCACTGATAAATCGACCAGCTGATAAATTGATCTCGATTTCCTTCATTTTGAGAGATCAGTGATCGGCCGATGCTTACATGTGAAGCTAATCTTTTCCACCGATCTTATCCGTCTCAGCAAAGGTCTAAGCATCCTCTATGCTCTGTAATGAGAGGTTTAACTGACAAACCGCCACCAGGTCATGTCTGAACATTCAGAGTTAACAATAGTCACCCCACTGTTACAGACTCTGCGACATTTTTGCTAAATTTAGCAACATTTCAGACAAAAATATTGGTATCAGCGTAAATTGAAATCTGCAGATCAGCCTTCTGAATGATTGGTGATTGACAATCAGCCAGAAAACTACAATCAGTGCACCTCCACTTTGGGTCTGACCCTGACAGAACCTTCAGGGTGGAGCTTTAGACATTTCTTCCCTCATCAGGACAGTTATTGTTTGCATGTGTTTGTATGGATCACATTAAAATGACTGTTTTGACTGTTTTTTCCCTGTACTGCTCTGGCTTGTCCTGGAGCTCTGACAAGGTAGGACTTGTTTTCTACTCAGTGACACCTGAGAAAGCAGCACACATGTAAAAATAATGGTGAGCTTGAGCCATGATGTCCATGTGAAGCTCTGTGTTTCTCCCCACAGCTTTGTTAGTTTTAGGACATGAACTTAGAGGGTGTTGGCACTTTTCAATTACCCTGCCATGACTGTTATCATTATGTTGCATGATTGCTTGATACTACATAAAGTACAGGAAATATGTTCTGGTGTATTTAAAGCCCTTATGTAGTTCAGGGGTGAAAGGATTTATCAGATTAATTGTGATGAGGCGATTATTGAAATAATCGGCAGCTAATTTATTAATCAATTAATTGTTAACTAGAGTATACAGGCACTAAAAAGGCCATTTGCCGAATGAACAACATATTCAGAGCAGTAATTAAGCTAAAACTGCATAAATACAAAATATACATTTTGACTTTAGGCACATCAACACGCTGTTATTGCATTTTAGGCAATAAAATGTTTATTTTCTTATTTTAAAAATTTGACTTTCTGGAGATGAATTGAATTTGTTTATTTGCCTCTTTTAATGCATCTCTAATATTGCAAAAAGAAAAAAGAAGGTAAATGGTTAAATAAAAAATCTCCAAAATGTGACCATTTCTTCATCCGATTAATGGTCAGAATAATCGCTGACTAAAATATCCAGGACTGGAAGCTGCTCTGCAGTTAGTAAGAAACAGGATCAGTTGTTGATGTTTCTAAGATGTTTGTCCCATGATTAGTCTGAGGTTATAACAGAAGCGTTTCTCTTGAATACATGAAATGAGACTGGTGGCTGTTTGTTTCCATAGCGACTGTATGGCTGTGCTTTCAGAGGCTGCTCTCAGATCGGCGTGCTGCGGGCGCTGATCGAAGCCGGGATCCCCGTGGACGTGGTGGGCGGCACCTCCATCGGCTCCTTCATGGGGGCGCTGTACGCTGAGGAAAAGAGCAGCAGTCGGATGAGGGTCCGGGCTCGGGAGTGGGCAATGGTGTGTTCACTTACACTAACTTTCATTCCACATTTCTCATACCTTCTCATAATGTTCATCAAAACTTAGCTACTCTTTGATTGTTTGAGTGTTGGAAAGCCTTGTTCCTCATTATGGCACCGTTCTCCTCACTTCCCTCGTTATGGTTTTGTTCAGGGAATGACGTCGTACTTTAAGAAGATCTTGGACCTGACCTACCCTGTGACCTCCATGTTTTCTGGAGCCTCCTTTAACTACAGCATTAGCTCCATCTTCAAGGACAAACAGATTGAGGTAGGGTTGGAGCGCCAGCCTCCCCCAACAGCAGTGGCAGGACAGGAAAGCTGTGAAGCAGAGCTCAAACTTCCTACAGGGAGATGCAAAACCATTTACACCTCTTGAACTTTTCATATTGTTTTATGTCACAATCACAAGCTTCAATGCATTTTACAGGGATTTTATGTGACGGAAGTGAAATTGAAAAACATAAGAGTTTTTACTATGAGGGTTTTAAGGACCGTTGTGAAACTCAAATACTCATTTCCTAATTCACCACGATGATCAGAGTTTTCTCTTCTGCTGCGTTTTGTGTTTTTGTCACCCCTCCACCTCTAGGACCTGTGGTTGCCATACTTCACCATAACAACAGATATCACCGCTTCCTCCATGAGGGTCCACACTGATGGTGTGTGAAACTATCATCACTTCTCCTACAGTTTCTCTAAATATAGTAAACCACTTGTTTTTCTTTTGCAGTAAGATTTTGATGAAATGACTTTTTGAAGCTGTCCACCTGCTGGTTGATTTTTAAAGAGCAGCATTGAGTCGGAGGAGCTAACGCTAATGCTATCTTTAGGTGAAACTTCCAGAAGACAGAAAAAAGAAATGATATGCCTGGAAAATAAAATCAGAATCATCACAAAAAAAAAAAAAAAAAAAAATATATATATATATAAATAAATATATATATATATAAATAACATGTTTGCTCAACAAGTGGACATCCTCCATGCATGTTTTTTTCATATTTTAATCCCAGAAACATGTTATCAGTGTTTTATTCTGTTACCTCTACACACGTCTCCTCCTCTGCACAGGTTCACTGTGGCGTTACGTGAGAGCCAGCATGTCGCTGTCTGGTTATCTGCCGCCTCTCTGTGATCCCAAAGATGGACACTTACTCATGGATGGAGGTTACATCAACAACCTTCCTGGTGAGAATCAGGCAGCTCCCACTGGATCTTAAGACTTTTAAAATCAAACAGTGTTAAAGTGGCTGGTAAAGACGGTAAAGAGGCTGTTAATTAACATTAACAGCCTCCTCAATCGGATCAGCACTTCTACCTAGTAGAAGATGGTTGTTTACAACACAGGCAACTTCTGGTAAGTTTCATAGCTTCATACTTACATCACAGGTAGGCTTTAGCGATTGGGTCAAATTTAAAATATCAACAGAGTCCACGTCCAGGAAGCAATCATTTCTCAGTAGCTGAGAGTCCAGGCACTCAAATAGTGTAGAACAACAGGCTGGTTCTGACCGGGATAGAGAACAACTGACCCATTTATTGTTTACCAATGGATCTGTGTGTGGGATACAAGCCCTGGTGGGTAGAAACGTTGGACTGAGTTTTATCAACGTGCTTCTGTCTGCGAGTTTAGATGAGGGCCGATATAATCCAATGGCCGTTTTTCGGCTGGTATGGGACTGATTTCTGCTTCCAGTATTGGATCTGGACACCCCTAATTTTGAATTTGTAATGGAAAGTGACATTGGGGAACAGGTGCTGAGGGAATGTTTCTCTCCTCCATCAGCTGACGTGGCTCGCTCCATGGGTGCCAAGGTTGTCATCGCTATTGATGTTGGAAGCCGGAATGAAACCAGTCTGACCAACTATGGCGACAGCCTGAGTGGCTGGTGGCTGCTGTGGAAACGATTGAACCCTCTGGCCGAAAAGGTCAAGGTACTGCTGCCACGTCAGACCCGCCACGGTTGGTAACTCCACACTCTGGCTTTACCCGCCTCTTCCCTCCAGGTTCTGAACATGGCCGAGATCCAAACACGCCTGGCGTACGTCTGCTGTGTGAGGCAGCTGGAGGTGGTCAAAGACAGCGACTACTGTGAATACATCCGGCCGCCCATTGATCGATACGGAACACTGGATTTTGGCAAATTTGATGAAATTGCTGTGAGCTTTTTGTCGTCTTCCTGGTTTTTGTTGGATTTTCTTTTGATATGTGAAAGGTGTGTGAAGCCGGAAGGGCCGTTGCTTTGGTCTTGAGTTCAGGAGGTGGGGTACCAGCACGGAAAGACTCTGTTTGACGTGTGGCACCGCAGCGGAGTGGTGGACAGTATGCTGCGGGACAGACACCAGGAGGAGTTCCATAAAGCCAAGACTGGACATGTGAGTGACAGCCAATCACAGCTGGAGATTAGGATGCATGCATGTTATTTGCTCTTTGTTTTCTAGTATTTCTGTTATGTAAACTCAAATATCTCTACAGTGAAAAACGGATGTTTTGTGTCTGGAACAGTGTAACACGTGTTATTATATGTTTTATGATACAATGAACAACAATTGAAAGTAAAAAAAAAAAAAACAGTGAAATGTTAGAGGTAAACATCTTGTTGCTGCTGACTCAAATCTCTCTTTAACAACAGGAACACAAAACTTTTTCTGCTTTCTTCATAACCTGAATATACAATTATCTTTACAATAAAATATTCAAGGAGTGCAGTGATTTCTGAACAGCATCCCTAAGTTACACAGCTCTCTGCTAGTCCAAAAACAAAAGTCACCTAATATTAGAGCAGATTTTATTTATAAATGCTGAATTCTTCCAGGTGGTCACATGTCCGAACGCCTCCTTCACCGACCTGGCAGAGATCGTGTCCAGAATTGAACCAGTGAAGAACGCTCTGATAGACGGTCAGTCAGCTGTAGAACATAGAAAATCATCACAGAATGAAACAAACACTGAAACGTAAACTTCTGTCTCCTTAAAGTTTTCTTATTTCCAGCTGAAGTGTTTGGTTGTGATGTCTGTGTCAAAAGCTGTGAAGGGATCATGATCACACTGTTCCCTGCTTCATGTGCTTTCAGAAGAACCATCTGATGAGTACCAGACTGACTACGACGAGGAGGCAGTGGAAAGCGCTCTGTCTGACTTTGAGGCCTTCACTCCGGGCAGCGAACACACCGAGGGAGAGGAGACGGCTGAGACTGTGAGCGTTACAGCATCCCGTGTTTTATAGATGGACTGTAGAGGGGAAAACTTCACATGAACTCATCCTAGGTGTTAATGTCATATTCATTTTTTGGTTAGCTCAATATTTGTCTGTAAAACTTTTCCTCATAAGCCATGTTAGGGCCAGGATAAGACTTTGTTTTATCATTACCAGAATGAAGTCTTAATGTTTGGAGAATGAAGTAGTAATATGAGAACTGCAACATGAAAATGAGGAATGTACACTTTAATATCAGTTTTCTAAAAACGGAACTAATCCTTTAACTCTGAGTGTGTCACGTTCAACAGATTCTAGTCGTGCAGCCCAACCGGGTGGAAACACACCCAATCTGGCAACACTGATTAAAGCAAATTTTTTCTCATAATTAAAAAACTATATTCAGTACGTTAGTCTGGCTGTACTCAGCTGCAGATTTCAGTCAAACACGGTTCTTGTTTCTTGGACAGCGCCCCCCAGAGTTCACAGCGAGAACATCCCAACCTGTACCTGAGGCTGACAGCTGAGGTTACATGGCTGGAAGTCAAATGGCTGTTTCCATCTGGACAGGATAATCAGCCCAACCTACAAGAAGAATGGCTCAAATAAATAAATAAAAATTAGCATAATATTCATGTAAATAAGAATGCATGTAAAGATTTCTTCAGCAATGTGAGTAAAACCTGATAATAAACATGTTGTTGTTTTAACAGGATGAAGAAGTTCCCGTCCAGGTCAGACACCGGCTCCAGAACGCCTCTCAGAATGCTCACCTTTGACCTCCTGGGAACCACAGGAAACCCATTTCAGAGCAGGGAGGAGTCAGCTGGTCTCCTACTGCTGGACCTGAGCAGGACTGGCCCGCTTCCACTGGGAAGTAGACGAGAGGTTGTTGGTTTGATCTCGAACTCCTCTGTGTGTGCTGGACCTCATGCTGACCCTGGTGTGATGACCAGTGTGTGACTGTAGAGAGAAACGGGCTGCGGTCATCAGCTACATTATATCACAGCACTGTGAACATCACATGACGTACTGTGTCCTACAGAAACCAGTTTTATACACATCATTTATTCATGTAACTGTATAATAGTCAGTTTAATGTTTGAGTGATGCAATGAAAAAAACAGCTGCTATTCTGCATTTAACCTTTGACCTGTTGGAGTTGAAGTGACATCATCCATACTGACTGCTGTCTGCTGCAGCTACGATTCAAACTATTCATCATTCAATTTCACACAACTTGTCCTTACGATTGTCAACTTCATTTATATTCTGATGCTTATTGTGTGGAAAAACTGTAAATATGAGCCAGAATTCTTCAAATGTCATGCAGACTTGTACAGAAGAAATATCTTTAAAGCTGCATGCAATATGTAACTTTTATTAAAAAAATATTATTTTTTACATATTTATTAAAACTGTCTCAGTGTTATCTCTCAGTATGATATGATACAGATAATCTTTGAAAAGATGGATCTCCTCCATCTCTTCTCTAAGCTCCTATTGTAGTCTGTAGAAATCCACTGCTCTGACCACAAACAACCAATCAGAGCCAGGAGGAGGGGCTTAGCGCTGTCAATCAACCTTTTGTACTCTGCTCAGTGTGCTAATGGCAGAGAAACAAGTTACCGTAACAGGGAAACTGTTTAGCGGCCATGCTAGCAGCTTTAGCATTGACAACAGGCTATGCTATCAGGAAGAAGCTGCAGCTTAGCACCCTCCATATGAGCACCAAACAGAGGATGATTGACAGCGCTGAGACCCGCCTCCTGGCTCTGATTGGTTATTTTCTAGTTATCACTGGGAGAAGATGGAGAAGCTCGACCTTTTCACAGATTATCTGTCTCATACCAAACTGTCATGACATGGTAACAGTTTCAGCAAATATGTAAATAAATATTTTTTTTTATAAAAGTTACAAACTGCAGCTTTAAGTACAACGCTTTGCGAAAGTATTCACCCCCCTTCCGTCTCCACATTTTGTTTTGTTGAACATGAAACATACAATTTTCTGTCTGGACTTTATGTAATAGAACAATGCAAAATTGGGATTAAAACCCCTAAACTGTCATCCCCAGAACAATTAGATGTAAGTGAGTGGGTCCATGAGGACACCACTGTCTACATGACAGCTAAGGTTTTAAACTGTGGTGTGGAAGTGAAGCATCGTTTTGGTCTGTCTCCTAAAAGCCAAAGGATACTAGATGTCACATAGCAAAGTGGTTACTTTATTGAAAACTGCATACTGTTTACAATTTGCTTTATATAGCCCCCTTTATTTAGACACCACTTGTTGTACCAAAAGCAGACATGTGACCTGTGCTCTGACTGGTTTGGCTGCATTCAGCTCATTTAACCTAAATGATCTGCAGCTCAGTGAATTCAGCAGCATTAGCAGCTTAACCTACGCAGCCTTACCGTATCCTGGATTTCTTTATGTCAGTGGCGTTGTATTGAAGTTGCGTTACAGATTATGAAGTTGACAAAACGTTTTGTATTTTAGTTTGTGCTGCAGCTCTGCTCACATAGTGTTACTGTAATGCACTGCCAGATTGTCATGGCGGTGTGAATCTTAGTTGAGCTTCGTTTTCCTGTCAAACACGGCAACTTTATCTGGCAGCCATTTTGGTTTCTGCTGACGGGTTTGACCCAAAGCCCTGCTTTACGACTGGAAAACAAAACTAACTATTGGAGCTGGGAAAATAATAACTGATGCCAGTGTTACCTGTTCTGTGTTGTTATAAAAATGTTAACGTTAACACTTGTAAAAACTCAACTTAAATCTGTTGTGATTCATTTTTAAGTGACCTCCTAACATATGATGATGTAGCCGCACAAACAGTGTTTTGTTATGATGACTGAAATGAAGCTGTTGCCTTATGTAAAATTAAACTCTGTAACTGTAAATAAGTTCTCATTGGATGATTTTTTTAATTTCTGTTTTAACTGTGAAGACTCAACAAGGTGATGCTTGGACCTCATTTCAGTCGGTCAGTCGGTATCTAGACGGATAAAAAACCTTCTGTAGAGGAATTGATGAGATCTAAGGACTGTTATTACATGAACAAAAAGAGGGCACAGCAGATCTGATGGTCATTCACTGCATTTACTGACAAAGATGTTTCAATTTAGTCTTTTACTGCAGCAACATAATCTCACACTGGAAACCTTAGAAAAAAGCATTTCATTAGATTTAATTTTATTTAGCAGAAAAGAAATCTTCTGTTAATTTGTTTTTGTAATCAAATTATTGTGAGACAAAATGATTGCTGCCCCTAATAATTCCTTCCAATTAAATACATTTTTGTTTCAATATACAATAGACTTCCTGTTTCCTGTTGGGTCGACCTGAGTGAGAAAGGCCTTTTTGTTTTGGACACTGGCCACTAGGTGGAACGACAACCCATTTATCATTTCGCTGCACACAGTGGACACAATAGACAGAGAAGTAAAAATTGCAGTAAAGAGTGACATCTTGATGTCATCAAGTCTGACAGCCACTTTCAAACCGGATGCCTGTTGAGAGAAGCCAGAAAAAGATTTCTCTGTCCTGCCATCACAAACATAAACATGTATGTGATGCTGTGTGCCTGTTTTGCTCTTCCAAAGTTCCCTGGGGACCTTCAGACGCCATGGCAACATGACCTCAATGACACCGCATGAAAAACTGAAAATGGGTCATCAGTGGATATTTCAACAGCATCATGATGTATAAATATTCCCAAATAAATATAAAAATGGGCGACCATGCACAATTCAACCAACTCCCATCCTAAACCTGTGGTCTGAGCTGAGGCGACGAGAGCCATGCATGGACTAGGCCACTCTCTCTGAATGCTCCATCCTGGTGATGTGAAGACAAAGATCTGTTCTATAAGTGTGGTATTTGCAAACTATTAACAGCATAGGGTACCAGCAGTTCTGTTATTTAAGTTCCATAAATAACCATAAACAATCTGGTATTTAAGTTCTTAATTTATAGGTTGAATTTCTCGTATTCTAAGTTTTCATAGTGACATTTAGTGAATTTATTTTGAGGCCTGGTGAATATCTTTAGAAGGGCTTCCAGTAACTGTGACCGGCTCTGTTGCATCATCAGACCCGCATCACTGTTTCAAAGTGGTTCTGAAAGAGCACTCTGTTACCTTTAAAGGAAGGTTCTGCTGTTTCCTACTCAACGGGTCAGATCTGCTTTACAGACTTCATGTTTTCTTCCACTTGTTTGCTGTTTCCTCTGCATGAGCTGTGAACATCTGACTTTTTTTTTTAATCCTTTTTTTATTTATTAGTCTGCAGCTCCTCCAGAGTTACCATGGACATAGACATTTTGTGATTCAGTCTGGCCTTCAGTTGAAATTAGAACGGTCTAAAACAACCTTAAAAAGTTTTTTACATGCAGTTTGTTTTGTCAAAGTGACTCAAACAGTGATTAGTTGAAGTTTTAGTGCGTGCTTATTTGTGCATAGAAACTGGACTAGATTTGCTCGACGTAGCATTTTAAAAGAAGGACATTATTTCCCGTATGCAAATGACCGCAGCATAAGATCAGTGAAAGCTCTAGTTTAGACCAACTTTATTCTGCTTAGTGACAGGAGCTGGTCTGCTGCAGATGGACAGTCCAGCTGCTCTGTTCCAAGCAGCTGATTTCAGCCGGGTCACCACCAGTCTCTCCTGTCCTGGCTCTGTGATGTGATCATTTAAGAAACATACACTGATGATATTATGACTTCTAACTTTAAAGTGTTTTGGTTCCCCTTTTGCATCTAAATCAGCCCTCACACTTAAAATCGTGGCCTCCACCGCACCAGGGGAGGTGTGTGTTTGTGTGTGTTATCTGGCACCAAGATGCAACCAGAAGCTAACAAGCAGTGAGGTGGTTCCTGTTTGTCCAGTTCATTCCACAGATGCTAGATTAGACTGAGATCTGTGGAATTCAGAGGCCAGGGTGTGCTGGTTGTCCTCCTCAAACTATTCCTGAATCCTTCTAGCTGAGCAGAAGGAGAGTTATTCTGCTGGGAGACGACAGAACACAGTTTTCACCGCAGCTGCTCTGGAAAAATGTGCAGTAGAATACAACGTGCTGTGCGTTCTGAAATCGGTGAAATAACAGATGAGGTACTGGGAGCTTCAGTAGCTCATCTGTTAAATGTTTTGTGCTAAATTCGAAAATACTAAAGGGAACACCTCCTAAAAAAAAAACCCAACCCATCTAGATAAACTCCACCCCCACCCCTCACCGCCACCTCCCCTACATCAACCCCTATTCTAGAGAGCTGTTCCTCAATCCTGGCTGCTTGCAGCATATGTTGAGAATTTGGAGGTAAAACTGAATTTAAGCCCAAAGCAAAGAAAATGTTCAAGTATGGTTTCATTTAAATAACCTGAAGTATAATTACAAAAGACAGAGGAGGCCCCATGGCTTCACCTTGGGCCCTAACATCCCTAGATCCACCTCTGCACATGAGTTCAAATCATAGTTTCTCCATTCAGTCTTTTCTAGTTTGGAGTCATTTTAGGAGATTATTTTACATTTAGGCAACAGGAATTTTGGGAGTTTGCTCCGATTGTTATTTTGATGATTATCACACATGTGTGGGACTCCATTAGGTTGTTTCCTGCTGTATGAGCTGCTCTGACCCAATCTGACCCGATCTGACCCGATCTGACCCGTTCTGCCACAGCATCTTCCAGGTTAGCAGCAGCTGGGTCACACAGCTCAGGGGTGGTTTGGGTAGCAGCTCAGTACCACACCTCATTCTGCTCACGCTCCACCAGCTGGGCTACACTTCAGCGCTCCACACTACAGAATGACCTGATGGCAGCTTTCTCCAGTGAAAGGTTCTTTATTCTGTTCAGTTAACAGGATGCAGGAGTGGAGAAGCTGCTTCTCCTTCCAGATAAGAGAATGGAATCACCACATGTTTGTTCTTTAGTGTCATGGACAGTAGAAGTTGATTCTCACACTTTAATCCTGAAGGTGTGTGAGCGGGTGTCTGTGTGTGTGTGAGAGAGAGGATCAAACTTGTGGTTCCAACTCGACTTTTTTCCAGTCTACAAATTGTGTTCTCTGGATTGACAAGAATTTAAATATCGTATATTTATCTCTAGTTTTGTCTTGTTTTTTCAACATTGTGGTTTTTTTTCTTCTCTTTTGATTTGTGCATGAAAAAATTAGAAATGACCAAAAACAAATTAATTGTTTTTTAAAATTTCATTCAAACATTTATTAGGATGCTGAGTCTGGGCTGTGTTTATGCTCTATAAATATGGATTATTATTTCTTACACACTGACAGTTGTGTTCTTCCTGGATGTCTGAGTGCAGCCACCCCTCCCTGTGGTCACAGCTGTCAGCTTTCTCTTCTATCAAGTAGATAGAAATTACTCCATTTATCAGTAATGGAGTCTCTGCAAAGAAAACTTTCTGGGTAAATTTGACCTCAGACGTCCTTTATGAGCAATTCTTTCATTCTCTAGAAAACTAAAAGCAGAAATATTAGAACAGGAATTACGTCTTTCCACATAGATGCTGATCCACAGTTAAACTAATTCATCACTCAACTGCTGCATTTTTTTTTATTATTTGATCAGTAAGTTACCTGATTGAGAACCAAGATATCATTTTTACAAAAGAGACAAACCAAAAAATAAAAAATACAAACAACGAAACAAAAAACTAAGAAATCTGACTCCATAAAATAAGCTATTATGAACTAGATCAAGTTTCAGAAGGAGATCTGCTTCAGATCATGACATAACTTCATCACTGCTTTTTTTCTCAAACTGTGTACGTTGTCAGAATCTATATTTGAATACTTTGAAGGTAAGCGGAGACCACCAGAGGTAGAGCTTAGAGCTGAAAATAGACCTGTGCAGACATTATGGCGTTATTATTAGAGCTATTATATGTGACCAAACACATCTGCAGTAACAGTCATACACTGTGACGAAAATGGAAAAGAAACATTAGTCTTTGTCAGGTTCGTTCAAGTGTTCAGTTTGAGAAATCCCTGTCAGAGGAGCAGGACCCAAGCGAAGCAGCTCACATCAGCAGTCAGGTTAGGGAGGATGTGTGACCCGTCCATCCGTTACAGAACAAAACTACAAACAATGAAGAAGAAATTAACCTGGGCCAACAAATGAAAAACATGAACCTTTAATCAGCATGGTGACGGAGGTGTGATACTGTGGGATGTTTCCTGTTTCAAGCATTTAACATTCTTATTCTCTAAACAGTTGGATCTTTGGTCTCCATGTTTTCCTTCTGGTTGAGTTTTCCTGACGTAGAGTGATGACGTGCTGAGTGCAGGCCATCATCAGCAGCTTGACCAACATATTCAGTAATAACTCTCTGTGGTTCCTGAGAACATGACGGGTGTTGTGTTGACCAGAACAGGGAGTCTAAACACGGCCTGCAGCACTTCCTGTTCAGACAATTTAAAACCTTCCATCAGCCCTTAGATACACATGCAGCTTCTGTGTGACACATTTCTAGATGACTAATTCTAGTTGAAAACCCCTGATGTGAAAAACATGTGGACCAATGATGAGTTACTGCTCATCTGACTCCGAGTCAGTTTGTGACTCTGTAGCCTTAATGCTTCATTAAAGTTAATCTGCATGAATGGATTAATAAAAATCAATCAATGTCTTTTTATATATACTGCTCTGAACTTCTTGGTTTTACTTTGCTCTCAGGGTTTTTACTGCAGTCAGGCTTTTTGGTCCTGATCTTATTCTAACCCCAGAATAATTTTTTTTCTGGTCGTTATCTTCATGGTAGGTGAAGCTCTGCCCACAGAGTCGGGCTTTTTGTTTATCTTACAGAGAGGTTAAGCTCCGCCCCCTGGGTCAGCTAGTCTGTATCCTGAAAACTTTTCCCCCAGGATTGTCCTGGACTTAGCTCCATCCATCTTCCCATGAACTCAGCTTCAACGCCCCAAGCCTAAACATCACATATTGTGGTTCAAACTGTGGCAAACTGGATAGTTTATATTTCTCCATGGAGGTCAGACTCAAGGTCAGCAGGTTCTCCCACCTGAGCTGTGGATCTCTGAAGCTCCTCCAGTGTTACCTAGGACATGCTGGTAGATTTACACTTTCCATTTTGGGAGGATGGATGACCAGATGTTGAAAGGTTTTAGCTCCTAACCTGCCCTAATGTTGTTCTCATCATCCTTCCACTTTACAGTTAGTTATCTGCTGCTTTTTATTAGTCTGTCACACTCAATCCTCAAATCCTCATCACTCAAAATATGACACATGTCAAGGCCTGAGGGGTGTGAATACTTTTTCTTCAAGATGTGTTCATCGGATGAGGTCAAAGTCTAAATATATAAAAGCAGACATGCACCCTTTGCTGGGTGGTTTTTCCATGTAGCAGAAAGAGGAAGTGAGACGGGGCGCTGAAAGCCCCATGAGCCTTTCAGCTCAGTCCTTCCTCAGCACAATGAGAAGGGGAAGTGTTCGCAGCAGCACAGTTCACTTAACTTCAGCCTGAAAACAAACGGAGCCCAACGGATCCAAATTCTACCAAACAGGTAGGACTGATGCTTCTCCTCCAGATTGTTTATGGTCGTTTTGAAGATTCCTGACCAAAGTCAAGATTCACTGTTGATCATTTTGACTTTCTATAGAAACATGTCAGAGTTGTGAACGTGTAAACAATTATGAAAACGTGAAAATGCGAAAAAGACAAGTTAAACTGAAATGTTAAAGATGGGAATGGGAATTCTTTAGCTTTAAATATCAAAAAAAGAATTATGATTTTAAAAGAAAATAGGTTTAACAATACCTACTTTGTCAGATCATTTGAGGTTAGATACATTTTATGCTGAAGATGAGTGTTCAGAACATTTTGAGTTCTGGGGGCATTTTGTGATAAAATCTTATTTATTCCAATGAAATTAAAAACACATGAAACTATTTTGGGTCGATGGAGTTTGGGCAGAAGGCGATGAAGTTGTTCCTGTAAATGGAGGCAGAACACAGGAAGTGAGATGCGTCACTCACACCTCCCTGCTGTTTGGCACAAACAGAACAGAATGTGTCAGAAATGAGAGAGAAACGAATAAATAAATAATGAGGTCAGACGAATTCTGGACTTATCTTTCCACATCAGGAGGAAATATTCATGTGTGTGTGTGTGTGTGTGTGTGTGTGTGTTTCCTGTTACAGGTTCCATTAGCAGAGTGTCACCATGGCTCAAGGCTGCCTCAAGTGTTTAAAGTACACCATGTGTGTCGCCAACTTCCTCTGTTTTGTACGTATGTCTCAATCACATCATCAGTCTGGATCATGTTATCAAGCTGATCTCATGTTCGCATCTCAGCAAAAAATCAAGTTTGAATGTTTTGATTCACTTCAGCTGAAATCACATAGATTCTTTTCAGCAGCGTTTTATACTTAGAAACATGATCAGCTGCATATAGTAATAATCTGTGTGTGTGTGTGTGTGTTCTCCCTGCTGTTAGGTGTGTGGAGTGGCGGTTCTGGGCTTTGGTGTGTACCTGATGGTGAAACTTAACTTCGCCGCTCTCACCCCGTCTCTGGCCAGCCTCAACATTCCCAGCATGCTGCTGATCAGCGGCATTGTCATCACCTGTGTGTCTTTCCTGGGGTTCCTGGGGGCCCTGAAGGAGAACCGCTGCCTCCTCATGACGGTAGCACACACACACTTGCACACACATACAAACACACACATAGTGTGTCTTTTTATCATCACAAGGACGTTCATTGACTTCCATTCATTTTTCATTCACTTCTGTAGCCCACCCTGACCTTTACCCTAAACTTAACCATAACCAATACCATGCTTAACCTAAGCTTAACCTGAACTGAACTCAATTCACATCCTAAACCAGGGGTGTCCAAACTTTCTGTCTTGTGAGCCAAAATTTTCAAATCAAAATGACTAGATGGGCAGAAAAATGTCATATTCTTAATAAAACTTATATGGTGATGCTATTATTCTTTTAACCAATCTGATAATGTAACAAATTAGTTAAACAAATTAAGTAATCAGATTTGTTTTATTTTTATTGATGCATGAACTATTGTAGAGTCAAAACTTTTTTCAGATTTCTCTTATTAAAAGAAACATTCATCAAGTATTTATTGAAAAAACAAAACAAAAATTGTAGTTTGGATAAATAAAAGCAGGATTTATGCCAGTCTGTATGGAATTGGATCAATTTTGTTCTTGCAAAAGAAAGCTAAAAAGTGGTTATGTAAAGATTAATACTTTGTATTTGAATAAGATTCCCATTTGTCTCTGATCGTTTTGCCCCAAGTAAAAATAAAAAGTTTGCATTTGCATCAACCACCTGTGCTGGAGATTAAATTTGTATTATTCTTGAATTCTAGTCAGGGGCCTCCACAAACAGTCCAAGGGCCACAAATGGCCCCTGGGCCACACTTTGGACACCCTGTCCTAAACCTAACTCCTAACCCAAAAACAGCACTTCCTCTTCTGGGGTCAGAGTTTTGGGTTCCAGCCATCGGTCCTCACGACGGTGTATTTGTTGGAGAAATGGACCTTATGCTTATCAAAAACAAACCTACTCTCACACACTCTCACACTCACACACACACACACACACACACACACACACACACACACACACACACACACACTTTAATGGCGGCAGTTAAAGGAATATTTCAGACTTTTGGAAGTGGGGTTCTGTGGAGTGTTTGTTAGCAGCTAGTTTAGTGCCTTGATCTTGTATAAGTACAGATGAATTGCTTCACCGATGGAAACAGGAAGTGATCCACTCAGAGCCTGAGCTGCCGTCTGTGGAAACGTTTCCTGGTGTGGAGCTAAAAAGACGGATTTCAGCAATAAAGCTGTTACTGGTTATTCTATCACAGCGATAATGCTGTTTGTAGTTACATGAAAGTCACTACAAACTTCTAGAAATAGAATGACCAGATTTCAAGGGGATTGAAAGTTACATTACAAAAACAAATGCACAGAAATTGGCCATGAGAAAAAGAAAAAAGTAGTGATAATAGTAGTAATAAAAATTTACCACATTACAATGAACAACCCAGTCCTCACTGTCATTTAAGAACAGTTCAGTGTGAAACAACATATGCTGCCGTATGATACCAGAATGACCAGCATAACTAGAAACCAATAAATAGAATGATTCTCTCCTTCTAGATAAATGTGAGCAGATGTCAAATATTTTAAATTAGACAATATAAGACAAATCACCTCTAAATGAGCTTAAGCAAACATGTCTGAATCCACAGAACTCCGTCCCATAGTTCCTATTCTCAGTTTCTGCCAGACTCTTTGCTCTAGTTTTACTACAGTAAATGCAGGGAAAAGGAGAGGAGAACATGAAGCCAGGAGAGAAGCCTGGTTCCTGGAAGAAGTCCCTGCAGTCAGCGCATGTGGTTCACACCAAGATCTGTTGAAGAAACCGTTCGAGCAGGGCTGATGATTTACATAGATCGGTGTGGTTATTCAGTCAGCAGGCTGAGCTGGTCCAAAACACGGATCTTCCTGTGTGAAGCAGAGCGTGTCCACAAGAAGACAGAGCACTCCAACTGACCGTAGGGCTCAAAGTCTGGTGAACCTCAGGTTAAAACAAGCTTGTTCTTCATTCAGCCAGGATACAGAAATTTTACTCAAATAACAGAAGCAATACCTCGTAATAAAATTACTCAGGTAAAAGTCAAAATGTACAGTGTAGTAAAAATTTTCTTCAAAGTACTTTTTTTCCCCCAAATGTTACTCAAGTAAAAGTAACTAAAGTAACGCGTCTCCACGAATCTTCTGATTACGGAAGAGTAGAAAGAAAAACCACGAGAAGTCTGTTTTAACAGTTTGTCACAGGAAACATCAAAAGGTGAAACCAACATTACACATCACCCTGAGCACACTATATCCATGACGAAACATGATGGTGGCAGCATCATGCTGTTTTCAGTAAAAGTTCAAAGTTTTGCGGCTTCACGATGCTAAGTGATGTTGGTGTCATTTCACACAGTTCCTGTTGCGTGCGGTGATGCAGAATGTCTTTGCTTCAGGCCTCCAGGTCGTGTTGCTCTGACATTGTTCAAGTAAAAGTGCAATGATTTGTGTTGACAGTTTTTCCTGGTGATCTTCATTCTGATGCTGGTGGAGCTCACAGCAGCATGCCTGATGCTCATTTATGAGGCCGAGGTGGGACTCCAGCTCCACACACATGCTTTGTTCATAACCAGATCACACTGAAGACCAAATGCTTCTCTAAAATCTCCGTTTAGATTGGCAAACTAGTGACAGAGGATCTCAAAAGAGGTTTGAAAAATGCAACTGGTACGGATAATATGAGTGACTGGAACACAGTTCAGTTGACGGTGAGTGGAACCAAGATGCATCTCATTCTGCAGGGATCCAGACGTTTACCAAAATTCTGTTTGCATTTCCTCTTCATTTCTAAAACAGTTTAAGTGCTGTGGAGTCCATAATGCAAGTGACTGGGGCAATCACATCCCTACTTCCTGCTGCAAGGAAAACGAATGTACCTTGGGCAAACCGGATTACAAAGAGGTAGAGGCCTTTTAGACCGACACTATTGATAATCTATTCTTGAAATAATATGTTGCGTGATTCACTGTTTGCAGGGCTGTTTGATAAAACTGAAAGAATGGTTTGAAGAAAACTTCCTAACTACTGGGATCGCTGTCATTGTTCTATGCATCATTGAGGTAGGAAGAGCATGCAGCTGTTTATTCAAATATTACTGAACTTTGGCTTGCAGCTAGGTGGCTCTCTTTAACTGTGCTGAACCTGATAGATGATATCAATGTTTGCAGCCTTTAGCAGTAAGAAAAAAAGTTACAAACTTCAGTTTTCTATGTAATCCCAAGGATTGTTGGCGGCAGACTAGGAGTTTTGGATTATATCCTGAGACAAAACTTTAAAGATAATTCCTACTTTTCAAACTCAACTTCCTACAGTTTTTGATTCTTTGTTTTCTAGACAATGAGATAGAGAACGTCCCTGTGTTTATATACCAATTGAAATATTTCTCCAAACTTGTGTTTTTCCATGCATTTCATAACTGGAAAACATTCAAATCCAGTTCCACACTTCCCATTTGAAATAGGAAGTCCATATGGATAACAAATGCTAAAATCAGTGTGAAAAGTATCAGGGTGTCAGAGAGAGAGAGATGTGCCCTGGTTGGTTGAACTCTGCTGTTGTTTGACTCAACTCTCTGCAACCTGACACTATAAAAGAAATCTGGTAATGGTTGAACAACAGGCCAAAAAAAATAAAATAAAATAAAATATATATATAGGGTTCATTTCCTCTTTTAACTGGTTTTTCATGTTATAATATGAATATGCATATTCTTAAATAAAGAATATTAAAAACTGTTAAATCTAGTCAGTTTTGCTTAAAGCCTGATCTGATCAGAGTCTCTCCTCCTACAGAGAACCAGTGTGTCTGGTTGCAGTCCTGTGGCTCCTCAGCCCAGACCTCTTTAGTTTGGATTTTTGATCATTTCCTTTCTGTTCATCCCTGGAACTCACCATGTCTGCCTCTGCAGGTCCTGGGAATGTGCTTCGCCATGACGCTCTTCTGCCACATCAGCAGGTCTGGACTGGGATACAAGTTGTGAACAGCCTGTGACCTGACATCCTTGTAAAGTTACAAGTCCTCCTTAAAAACCTTGAATTAAATTTCCTTTTCTTGGACATTATAAAAAAAAAAAAAAGCATTGTACAGATTTTATTATTCACTTCACCTGTTGTCACCTCAGGTCAGACTGTGAAGTGAGCACTGCTGTATTTTATTTGTTGAATAATTTTCCTGCATGTCTTTATGCTAAACCATTTCTGATGCAGTTCTTTGTCTCTTAAATCAGCCAATAAAGTTTGGTTCACTCAGAGCTGACATCCATTTCAGCAGCCGTCTGATTGTTGTCACGTGACTTCCTGTCTCAGCGCCCTGTGGCGGAGGCTTTAAAACCAAACTTCCTCTCCTGGCCATTTTCAGCAAGAAACAAACTGCAGGAGCAGGAATGAAAAACACATCAACCAGAATACAGTAACACAGATTAATTTATTTCTCTCCAGAATAAATCCTGCATCAATAGTTTAAGACCAAAAAAAAAAAAAGATATAGATACTAGATATCTATGAAATACTAGAATTTCATTTATATTTTAAAATTGTTTTTGTTCTGTTTAAAACCATCAGACAAAAAACATACAAATACACTTTCTGCAATTTTTAAAAAATGTAACTGTACACAGCAGAATACACCGTTTATTGCAAACTGAAAACACCTGACGCCGCAGAAACAACAGTATTGCAATTCACCTAAAAGATATGAAGAGACAAAATAAAGAAACTACTGATACAGCTCTCTCTTCCTTTAACTCTATGAAACTAACAGCTGTGTAAAGTTTGGTCCACCCCACCCAGTGAGTCTCCACATGCAGCACAGTGTCTCAGACGAGGCGCGGGACCCTGCAGGTCCACTGGACCAGAGCCGTCCCGGTTACTTCCTGCTTCAGATAAATAAGACGAGCGACAGCGGTTTGAAGACGCCGCCATATTGCAACACTGAGCCAGAATTATTGCAAGCAAACACATAAGTGAGACCCTCTGAGTAGAGAAGGACCTGTGCCACAGAGCAGTTTGTCTCTAAAATCAAATCACATAAAAGAAGAAAAAAAAGAAAAGAAAAAAAGAATAAAACAACCATACTGTTGTTTTAACAGGAAGTTACAGAGCAGCTCGTTTCATTCAGCAGCCTCGCGCTGGTCCGACGTTCAAGTTCTACTCAAACATCCCTGATCAGGATCAAGTTTCCACACACCACATAAATTACTTGTACAATTTTGAAGCGTTGCTACCAGCAACTGTTCTGTAGTGAAGCTCCTATGAGCTAAATGTTGCTAACTAGTTTGAGTCCATGAGGCGAAGCATTGTGGCAGAGGAGCAGAAGGTACCATGTTGGCCAGGAGGCCAGCTGTGGTCACAGACCAGATCATCCACAGGACACGAACACACAAACACACACAGGCAGCATGTTTCTCTCTAGTTACAAAAACATTTTCCTGAAGCCTGATTTTTTTTGTGTCTTTTTTTTCTTTTTTTCCTAGATTCATTTATTTGTGTGTTGAATGTCTTTTGATGTGCTGTTTGCTTTGTACATTCTTGTTCAATAAAGATTAAAAAATAATGAGGAGAAAGAGGCTCTGGCCCAATCAGGAGGAAGCATGCAGAGTTGGGGGACCCAGCCCCATCAGAACATGGAGGATCAAACGCAGGCTGTTCGTTCAACTTGACACTAGGAGACATGTTACCATCAGAAAGCAGTGACCTCTGGAACATCGGGCTGATGGGAGTCATTTCTGATCAGCTGTGAAGCTCAGAATGACGGGAACTGTGGCAGGAAGAAAAACGATCTGGGGGAAGAGAATTGAGGCAACACCAGGACATGTCGCTTCCTTCACAGGCCTACAGACTCCTGAGCTTCCAGCACAGGTCAAAGGTCAGGGCTGAGAGCTCAGTGAAAAAACCAGGACCACCACTGCAGCAGGCTGTAGTTTACTGTGTGATCCAGCAGATGGCGCACACTGACCTGCTGCTGCCTGGCAGATCGACTGAAGCAGAACTGACTTCATCATCAGCAGCAGCAGCATCATGGATCATGGTGCAGATCAAACCCCAAGGCACCGAGCTCTAGTCAGCAGTTAGAGAGGTGTGAGCTGAGCCAGCAGGAAGAGGAGCAGTGAGGCGAAGGCAGAACAGCTACTGACTGAACCTGAACGCACCCTGATGATGACGCAGCCAGTACGCTGCTGGCTGCCTGCGCCAACAACAGGCTGAAGCAGGGAACAACTATGGCTTATGTTTGGTTCTGGCATCAGCAGACAGAAATATTAGCCGAAGATTCAATTTTCTTAACTATTAAGGTTTCCAATCCAAAACAGAAACAATTGCACAAATCTCATCAGCTGCTCTGATTTAGTACAACGTTCTGAGCCCTGGTGAACCATCAGGGTCAACAGAGCGGCCCGAGCAGCCCGAGAAGACCAAAATGTTGTCTGGATACCGAGGAAAGACCGTGTCATTACTCATGGAGGTTCCAAAACTTTCACCCTAAGTTTAGGAAACACCAAGGAGCCGCCTGAGTTCAGAGTGAAACCCTGACTGTGAACCTGTTGGAGAGCTTGGCTGCGTCTGTCTGAAGGTGCAGGAAGCTCACACAACCCAAACAAACAAGCACAACAACCGTCTCTTCACCCCTCCAGCTACCAGAGAGAAGTCAGGTATGAGCAGACCTCCTGTGCCTCAGCATGCAGCGGTCACAACCTTCCCTGGTCTGACCACGGCTCCACTCCCAGCCAGAACCCTGACCACGCATTTCAAGCTCATGGGGCCTGCTATTTAAAACCTGATCTGGTGTGGTTCAGGACTACCAGCTTGTCCTTCACCAGTAGGGTGGGAGGAGGCTGCTGGGGCCCATTTGGCTGAGCCCTGGTCAGTGAGCTGCTGAGCTCTGCAGGACACCGTCCTACAAACCTGGAGGTCAGCTCCAGGTCACCTGAACCTCCTCAGTGCTTCCTCCCCCGCCCTGAGACTGGCTGGTTTGGTGATTGTGTTCAAATATTGATCAAAATAGTACATACAGAAGGTTCCTATTAAGACTACATTTATCATCCTCTAAGAAAAGAGTTCCTGCTTTCACCCTTCAGACCTCCACCCCCCACTGAGCTGGGTGGTTGGTCATAAAGTGAGGAAGTGTCAGAACATCAGCAGCTCTGGGTTGTTAACCTGACTTCTAGCTTCCTCTGGTCTGACTAAGGGAAATGAGGAGCAGCATCCCTGCATCAGAAGCCCCTCCCTCTGAGTCGCAGGCAGGTGTCTCTGGGTTATCCTATTGTTCAGCATCAGGCCTCTGTCTGGTATGGTAAGGTTCGCCATCACACTAAGCAGTGTTGTGGTTGCTTGTAGAGTTTGGTACTGAGCGGTGCGGCTCCTGAGCTGTGGGGTGCCGGGTGGGGGTGGGGTGGGTGTGTTCTGTCTTTAGAGCCAGCTGTGTTCTCTCAGGCACAGGAACGCTGCTGCGTTTCAGCTGAGGCCAGAGGAGGCCTAGAGGGGCATCAGCCTGGTGGTGTGGAACAGGAGCGGGTTCAGGTCCTCGGCTTGGACGGCCCGGTGAAGCGATGGCTCCGAGCGACTTCGCTCAATTTTTGGCATTAGTTCCTGCACTTGCTCAATGGCTACCAAGATCTGGAGGGACACAACCACATGTAGAGAAACGGTTCAATGATGCTAAGGAAGCAGGTTTCTATAGAAGTAGTGAGTTCTGAAGGACTCTGGTCCTCAGTAGAACTGGAGTCACCCTGGACCTGGACTGTTGATGTGTTGAAATGAGCCACAGCATCTGCAGGTTTCACCAACTCAAATCTAAAACTTTCTAAAACCTTTTCTCATCTTTCTCAGATGTATTTCCATCCACAGTAACATCCTTGTTTAAATAAAATTTTTCCCCAGGCCAGCAGCTTTGTGTTTCTCATACCAAATATGGCAGCAGCCTCAAATCCGAAGTGCTAAGTTTTTTATACACAGAATGCATGTAGCATCATATGAGCTAGTGGTGAAAACTTACGTTGTCCAGTCAACTGCAGATAGATGCAAAAAGCTGGCTAGCAAGTCTACACTAGCAGCTAGCTAGCAGTAGCAACAAAGATGTCTGCACGGGACTCAAACTGTTGCCCGATGGAACGTCCCACCAGAACAAAAACAAGGAAAATACACTAACTAGAATACATGAGGTTAAATAGTACTATCACAACAAAATTACTGCCCTGTCATTAACATATTAAAGGCAACCTACATTTAAAAATAATAATTTTAAGACTTTTTAAGGACTTAATTTTAAATACAGGCATTTAGGACTTTTTAAGGATGCACAGACAGCTGGTGTAGCTCTGGCTGAAGGTTTACAGTTGACCTGCTGGAAGGTCAATCTGAACTCGTTCCAACTGAAGGCCTCACAAAATCAGTCCCCAGGCCACAAATGGTTCCCAGGCCATACTTTGGACACCCTTGCTTCATACCCTCTGTTAGGGTTGGGCAAAAGTGATAAGAAAATGTAATTAAAAAAGAGCTCCAACATATTGGTTTTCACATAAAGACATGCAGATGAAGGTGCAGGCTTTATGTTCACGCTGCATCCATCTCCAGATGCTGCAACATTTGCATTATAATTTACTGATAAATGAATCTCTAATTATTCATGAATCATGACTAATTTTCTAAAAGAGAAAAAGATTCAGTCAAAACACTTCAAGTATTGTAAGTTTGAAGGGAGTCTATGAGGTCTATCCCTTATGTCCTTTCACTAATAGTCACACTGTAATATTTTCATTAGATACACTGAAATGATCAAAGTGAAGAATTTGCAGGATGATATGCTGGTACTCATTTCAGCAGCAAGCATCCATCCCTCTGACCCACCTGTGGAAAAAGGGGCCTCTCCTCCCGTTTGAACTTCAGGCAGTCGATGATGAGCCTCTTCATGGACTTGGGTGAGGTGCTGCACAGTTTACCGAGGTCTGGAGACAAGTAACCACGGCCCACCATGAACAGTATCTGAAGCACAAGGAAAAGAAAAAAACAACATACATCAGCCTGTGCCACATGAGCTGAAAGACTGACCAAGAGGCTGCAGAGTTTGAGGTTCACTGTGTCATACTGAAGAGCAGCAGAGGACTGACCTGAACTGGTATGACTGAGAAGATAATGAAATGCTGTATAAGCAACAATTAGACTCTTAGAATAGAAAATATAACTAAACACATCATGTAGGAACTCAGACCATGTACTTTTCAGTGATGATCTAATTATATATGCGTACTTTGCCACTATGGTTTCTCAGTTCTGTTTTTTTTTTCTCTGTTTCTGTAGAAGCAGACTGAGCATGTAATCCTGTATTGTCTCCGTCCTTCTTGTACCATACTCTATTACATTTGAGTAAAACCCACAGCAGTTTCTACAAGTTTATAAGTATCAAGTAGAGCAACATAGTGAAAGTTGTAATGCTCCTCTTGTAAAAGGAAATGTCTTTCACAAGAGACAGACAATAATTCTGAGCACCACTTTGCTTTAAAATAATAAAGCAAATTTGTTACTTTAAGATTATATTTCTCACTCCTCCAATATATTCCAAATATTAGAATTAAACTTTAAAAGTGTTTTTTTTAGCAGATGACTACTCTGATGTGGCATTGTACAGTGAGCAGTGAGGGGCAAAAAGCACCTGCATCTGACCTCTGCTGTGATGTTTAGCATTGCTCTCATCAAGCAAAGGAGTAGTCAACCACTGATGAACATCAGGCCGACCTGATCTGTGAGGTGTTGAGGTAGGCACACTGCCCAGAATCCTCCATGTTTTAGATACTTCCTGGTTCAGAACAACCGAGTCAAATCACGACTTGTGAACAGAACTCTGCAGAACCAGGGACAGCTAGAACATAAAGGACACCGGCAGCTGGACAGATCTGGGTTAGTGAAGTGTCGGCACCAAACCTGGTCTCTGTTGTTGATATTGGAGTAAGGAAGCGTTCCTGACATCAGCTCAAACAGCACCACTCCATAACCGTACACGTCAGACTGGAAGGTGTACGGGTTGCTGTCCTGCATCCGGATCACCTCGGGAGCCTGGAGAGCAGTGGGAGAAAACGCAGCAGCAGCACGTTAGCATCAGACTTTGTTTGTAATGCTGCGGCCATCTTGAGGATCCAGCAGAGGATCAGTGTAGATGTGGACATAAATCTGCAGCGCCATTTAAGCTGCATTATATTCTGTTAATAACTGGTTGTCATGGTGAAGCACCAGTACTTTGAAGTGAAACAGATGTTTTTCTAATCAGTGATGTTTAGATAGTGGTGATAATTGATGCTACCCACAGTTAACAGTTTAAAATGTCAATTATGTTTCCTTTTGTATTAAAACTGAAATCCTGGTTAAGACACTCATCACCTCTACACACAGTGTGACATCACCTCTGGTCCAAACAGTAATAATGAATGAATCACAGAAAGGCGTCTTTAGGCTCCTGGGTAGTTACCAGATGAATTCACGGTTTAACACTTCTGGAAGTTGAATATTAAATATTGAGATAGAAACAACAGATATTTAAAGCACTGACTCTTCTGACCTTTGAACTCTACTAAAGGAAGTGTGATGCAACTCCGACAGGTCGCAGTTTGTTACCATTGCGTCTGATAACCAGGAAGATTTTACTGCTTTAGGAGATTTTCTCTGATGAACAAAGAGACAGTGCTGAAAATTGCTTTATTTTAAAATAATAAAAACTTTCAATTTATCCAGAAAACTGGCCGAAAAGGAGCCAGTGTGATTCTCCTTTAAATATGAAGCAGATGCGTTAGTTATGGAACATGCTTATGAAGAGCTTACCATCCAGAGGATGGAGCCGCTGGGCTGCTCTACTTGCTGGGAGCCGCTCCATCGATACTTCACCGTGGCCAAGCCAAAGTCACCGATCTTTACGGTCCAGCCCTCGTGGAGGAAAATATCTGGCAGCAGAGCTGAGAAACGGCCCAGTTTGTGGTGCAGAGGCTCTTTGTATCACATACCACAAAAACCAGGCAGCTATTTAAAGCAGTAAAAGGCAGTGGGGGCGGGGGGAGGGTCGCAGGGGAAACTAACCACCAAGGGAAAATTTGTTGAAGCTCAAAACTTCAAATGTCAAATTAGTCAGCACCTAACAAGAATGAAGAAAATTTCACCTTCAATTCCATACATTAGTTTAATGTCAAATGAAATATGTGGAGGTCAAATACACAAAGTATGGTTGAACAATGACTATTCTTTTTTTGTATCACTTACAAACAAATTACTTTAATCCTGTTTGAACCTTTAGAAGTTGCTGAACTCTGAGCTAAACTGAGAAACATAAACATGCATTTATTAAAGGGTAACACTGGCAAAGCAAGGATACTGTTTGACTTCAGGTCTCGATGAATGATGTTCTTTGCATGAAGGTAACTATGGAAGAGACGAAGAGCAGAATGAAATAAAATCCACAAATCTTCACAAGGATCCACTCCACTGACCGGAGTCAAACAACCTTCAAGGAAATTCAACTTTCTGTTTCCTAGTTGCTCTTTATCTGTTCAAAAAAACTGTATAATAAGTTCAATTATTTTATTAAACTTAACAATTTGATGTAAAAATAAAGCTGATCATCTGTTGAGGAAGACACACTGGATGCCTCTCACAGTCAGACTTCCCCCCATTAAAACGTGTTGGTGGAAAGTCATCTGAACGTCTTACTCCATGCCCTGCGCCGTCTGTCTGGCCACATCAATGCGACGCATCGTGTCAAACTTGGTTTCTGTGACGTGCAGATGGCGGTAAAGACTGCTGCCCTCACACCACTGGGTGATGATGGCAAAGTTGGGCTTAGTCATGAAGCCCATGAAGAGCAGGATATTGACATGGCGGGTTTTCCTGCAGAGCACAAATAGTAAGCATGTTAGAAACTCCATCTCATTCGCTGGATGTCAGTGGATCCCTAAGAATCAGTTCATAATGAGGACATCAGAGTCAGATTTACTGCTTCACCATCTCTGATCAACCAAAGACCATTCTAATAGTAGCAGGACTGGGCCATACGGCTTAAATTTTTCTCGTACCTGATCCTATTTTAATACTTTTTTTTTCTCACTTTCTTTGCATAAAATTTTCTTACATATGACAAAAAATATTTCCAAAAAGGACTTCTATTTCAAATGTCCTTTCTGTGAGTTGGAATATTAGGGCCATATGAGAACATTTGTTCCATATTATGATAAAACGTCATTATTTACCGAATAACTTTGCATTATTTGTTAAATAATGACACTTTTAATGCAAAATTCCATTAAAACTTGCATTTAAAGTCCATTAAAAGTGTCAACTATGCATTAAGGCTGTCATTATTTACCAAATGACACTTCATGACAACAGTAGTAAACATTCATGAAGCGTCCTTCATGTTCATGACAGGTGTTCTGTCATATTTATGATAGTGTGTCTGTTTTATGCACATCCCCTCAAATAAAGTCTTATAAAAAAATCCAGACTTTCAAAAATGAAATCTTCAAAAACATGATTAATCAATCAAATGAATTTATCGCCTACCCCCAAAGAGCATAAATCAACAGGATGCATTAGTAGTACTGAATGTTGAGTATGAACCACATGGCTGCTTACCGTAAGACCTGCATTTCATTCTTGAAGGCCTGCAGCTGCTCAGGCGTTGGCTCTTTAACCTTGAGGATCTTGATGGCCACGTCTCCGTGCCACTTGCCCTTGAAGACTGTCCCGAAGGAACCCGTGCCTATTCTCTTCTGCAGAGTGACTTCTCGATAGGGGACCTCCCAGTAGTAACTAGAGTCTCTGTAGCCTCCGCGATGCTGAAGCAACACAAAACAGCCCTTTACTCTCTACTTCACCCCCCCTTCAGAGGACAACCATGGACCAGGCTGGAGACAACATACCACTTTCTTCTTGTCGTCGGAGGAGGAGGATTTGCGTTCCTTGTGCTCTAAGGGGGACTTCTGCAGCCTCCTTCCGGGGGAGCCCAAAGAGGAGGGTGGGCTGGTGGGGGGTTTGGGCGAAGGCTCTGGGCCTGTGGGGACACATAACACCAATAAGGATGAAACGAACCCGGATTGGAAATGAAACCAGAGCAGCTGTTGGGAGGAGGCTTACCTATCGTGTTGTATTTCAGTGTTTCCTAAAAACATTGGATAAAGAAACATTAGATGTTGGTCAGTTCAGGACACACATTGTTTTAATGTACAGCAGGACTGTCCAAACAAAGCTGACCTCTAAGACGATGACGGTAGTAATGTCCACTGTGCTGACCATGTGGACGTTGGGGGTGGAGGTGGAGCGATGTCTCTGTAGAGACTGGCCATCTCCACCTGTTGTTGGAAAGTTAAAGGTCGGGGACAGCAGGCCTGATCTGGAACCGTTCCGGAAAACACAAACACAAACTGTGTTAGTCAGTTTCACACATCAGAAGCTTTTGATTTCAATCCATCTGGTTTGGTTCAGAGCTTACCCAGCAGGCTCTGGGGTTAAGGCGAGGTTGCTCTGCGATGGAGAATTCTCAGGCAACAATATCTGAGGATAATCTGTGCAGGAATTGCTGTCACACCTGCACAAAACAATCAGAGAACAAAAACACAATTTGCAACAAGTTTGTGCCCATAGACGGGTCAACAGCAACAGATTAGTAGTAATTGTACATGGGGAGTCAGACAGCTGACCCTGACACTTGGGATTTGTTCAAGTGTCAGACTCTTTCTTAGAATAAAACTAACTTCCATTTAAGATTACTGAGCATTTGCATGAAAACTATATGCATACAAACATCTGGAGAGTGACCTCATGAAAAGAAGAGAAGTGCAGTCAAAAGTCTCAATAAAACCCTCAAAATCCAGCAGGAAAAAAGATAAATATCTGGTAAATTTTAACTTTAAGCAAATTTGAAGACTTGATGATGACTAGCCAGTAAGTAAAACTCACCGTTTGCTCACTGTATCCATGTCGACGCACACAGTGGGGACTTTGCTGCTGCAGTGTTGGTGAAACTTGTAGCCACATGTCTGACATCTGAAGCCATTAAAAAGAAACTTGTGGCAAAAATCACAGTAAGCCAGTTTGAAAAAGGTTTTCCGTACCTATGAAAACAAACACATCCAAGATATTCGCTTCTGAAAGAACAGCAGAAAGAGGAAATGTTGCGATTCTGACCAGGTACGTACAAAGTTATGCATGGTAAGAGGAATGTCATCCAGGACTTCAACTAGCAGCTCCTCTCCGACCAGAGGGGTGATGTCTGTGTCCCAGTCCGTCAGTCTCTTACGACTATGAACAGGAACAAAAACATGTTGAACAGCAGACAGCTTTGAGAAAAAGAACTATAAATATAGGGTACAGATGGGGCATCCTGCTATATTATAATCAAGCATAACTGTGAAATTTCTGCTGTCTGTTTGAGGTCCTTGGCAGCATCTTTGCATTTATCACACTGCATATGGATCTCTACAGCCTTAATCCAAACTTCAGTTTTCTTGTACAGAATGCATATAGCCTTTGGCAACATAACTGAGGCAGTGGCAAAAACGAACATCGTACAGCAATGAAGAAGTTTGCACATGATTCAAACCTTTGCCTGACAGAAATGGCGAGAGGAAAGAAAAAAAGACTACATTCAAGAATATATGAGATTAAATAACTCTGTCACGACAAAATGTAAGACCTGTGATTATCATATTTAAGGCCAACTTACATTTACAAATTTAAGTCATTTTAAGGATGCGGGGGCAGCCTGATGAATGGGTACATAACAGAACTGTGCAGCACCTGCTGACATTCAGCCACAGTCATCATTTGAATCACATGTGCTGAAGCAGAGGCGGATCTAAAAGATGCAGGACAGTGGGTCCTGAGGGCCAGGATGGAGGAACACCGTTTTAGTCCAATCTGGACAAGACTGCAGTGTGAACTGTGGATATGTGTTGCCAAGAGCCAAACATAGGAGAGGGACGCATCTGCCAGCTGATCATTGTCCAACTTGGTGGCTTGCAAACATCAACCTGGCACCAACTAGTTTCTCTGTTTACTCTTCAAACACTTGTCCTTGAATCAGTTGCGGTGCAAGGAATCGTTCAGCTGTTCGTTTGATGAATCAGTTCATGATCTCATCAGGTGAACTTAGTGTTTGAGTCGAAAGAGAAAGATGTGGATCCTCCGTGTCTTTCACTGGAAAGACTGAAGCTGGGTAGCGTCCGCTGCCTTAGACTGAAGCTGCAGCAACAGTCTTTAGTTGCTGCAGCAAACCTTTGCCTGATTGTAACGTGTAACATGTTCTCCACAAGTTCAGAATATAACTAATGCAAAGATTACTTTAGGCTGGTGTTGGTTTACTAATCTGTCAGTTACTGCTGTGTTTTAAAGACTTTCGCAACTGTTCAACTTCTCATTGATCTGCTGCGGTGCTTGGTAAGCTATGGGCAAATGGACTTCAGCCTGTTAGCTGAATGACTGAAAACTATTTAAACAAACCTTTTTGCTGAAAACAGCGGATTTGTTAAAGTTGTCACCATCTCGTGACAGTATAAGATAAGACTGATAATCTGTGAAACAAACTAAGCTCCTGTGTCTCCTCCCTGTGGTCCTACTGCCAATTGCTGAACTACAGAAACAAACAATCAGAGCAGGGGGAGAGGGTCTTAGCGCTGTCAATCAACCTCATGAACTAGCTGCTAAGTGTGCTAATGGTAGAGAAACAACTTATTGTTACATGAAAACTGTTTAGCCGCCATCATTGAGGACTATGGTAACTTTTAGCATTCATGGCAAGCTCCAGTGCGGGCAACTAGCTGTAGCGCAGCAAAGAGCAAGGGGGGAGTGTGTGTGTGTAGCGCGTACATGAGAATGATTGACAGTGCTAAGGTCTGCTTCCTGGCTCTGATTGGTTGGTGTGTTTCTGCAAGTGGCTGTAGGTCCATTGGGAGAAGGCAGAGAAGCTTGATTTTTTTGCAGATTATCTGTCTCATGTTATACTGTCAGTACATTATAACAGTTTTAAAAATATGTATAAGAAAAAAAACAACATATTGTTTATTAAAGTTACATACTGCAGCTTAAACAAGAAAAAAGCTTGTTATTTTAAATATTTTCCCTCCATGCAAATAAGGATTTAGGGTGATAATGTGTGTCTGAGTGGATGTAGCTGGGACAAGATTAGCTGTGGTTTTCTGTGGAGACAGTGAGGAATGCAGTGTAATGTTTGTCACTGATGTAGGAGGAACATCTTACCCTTCAAGCAAGCGAAACACAGCACAGCAGTCTTGGCTCAGGCCTCTCACTTTGAGCGCTTTATTAAGACTCTCGTACACGGTTTGTCCTTGCCGGACGTTCACCTGCCAACAGAAATCCTCAGGTCAACAGCAGAAGCTTAAATTGACATTCAGTCGGCTGACAACATGACTCAAACTGGAAAGCAGCACTATGACCACTGAGTTAGCGTTAGCTCCTGCTGTTGTTGAGAGTGAAGCTCCAAGCTGGAGCTTCAGTGTGCAGATTCTTTTTAAAGCCAAAACAATGCTACATTCCTGCTCTGACCACAACAAAGCTCTTATAGATGACAGCGTGGGATGTCAGACAGCCACAAGCTCCACTTCCATGGCAACATTACCACACAAGATGTTTCCCAACTATGTGTGCATTTCTAAATGATGCACCAGGGAGTTTGTGCATGGATGTTTATTTTGTACAGACAGCAAAGGTGGGAAAATTAAAACTGAACCAACATCTAATCACAAGGAGGATTAGACTTTCATACTTGGACTGTGATTGAGATATCTAAAAATAGCCAATATTGTTGCATCTCAGCCACGCAGACTTTACAAGTAAACTTGTGATCAACTTTTTATTTTAAGTTGATCTCAGTTTTAGGATTGAGCTTATCCACCCGTTTTATAATATGACCAGATATTTTTGATGAGGTTTGATCCTGAGGACTTTCCTGGCAAAATGTCCAGATAGGGGTTTGAATTTATTTTATCATTTGTCATGCTAAATTTTTTATAATACTTTTGATTTATTGTTTTCTCAATATATTCCAGTTAATGATGTGTAAATCTCTGAAAACAATTTATATACTCAGGACTAATTTTACTATTTTTCCCCACTGTTTGTTCAATAAAAGTGTATCAATAAATATCAATAAATTTAAAAATATGATTAAATGCAGTAACTGTGTGATGTTTAGTCAAATGTTTTTATGTGCCCGATTTCCTAAAGGACAGTATTAAAATGGAAACGACTTTCAAGAGCAGTATTTGTGATTGTGGGGCTATGATTGACGTATCACACAGCCACAGCCATACAGTTACCTAAAAAAGTAATTAATAGTTTTTCTCATCACTGATATTGTTATGATAATAGTACCACAAAATATTGTAATAAAATTTTAAAGTCTGTCCTTAGTCCAGTCTCTCTCCTAGAGGGAAGCAACCTGCAGACGGATGCCATTTTGTTGGTACAACACATGACTCATGGGGGGGATCACCTTTTCTTCTTAAGACAAGTGAAAAAAAATCATCCCATGCGTCCAAAAGAACCAGGAAGAAGATTTATTTGATAAAATAATCTTAGAGCGGTTTCCTCCTGCCTGTTCATGCATGATTTGAAAATTTTTAGTCTTTCCTTGATGATTGTTTTAAACGGAAGGAGTTTCTTTGCTGTGATCCTGGCCTTACACCTAACGTATGCTTACTGCTGCACAAACTCTTCACTCAATGCAACACAGTTTGCTGAAAATAGAGTTTTAGTATAAACCTAAAGCTAATAAAGTTCTCTACACAATAAGCTAAAAATAATCACTGTTCTCCCAAACAACCGTGCACCACTCGTAAAGCCTTTGGCTGTGTCACGGCCGAGGTGGTGGGCTTGAGGTCAGTGTCTTGTTGAATGACAGAGATCCAGAAAATAAACACCAGTCCCGGGGCGTACCGTGAACCCATTAGCTCTATTCTGAAGCCCACATGAGAAGCTAATAACTCGTTTCTACTTTCCACATAATGTTATCACTGACAACAATCCAGAAAATCAGGAAGAACAGGAATAAAACATTCAGAGTCATCTCTGTCCAACTGCTTCCAGAAACCAAGATGACTTCCATCCGCAGGTCAAAAACAACAACACGGCCTGTGTTTGTAGGAAGATTTGTGTTTCAGTCTGGACTCAGAGATTAAAACACAACAGGTAACAGAGAGGTTAAAGTAGGAATTGGTAATATGAAATTCAAATTTTATTCCCAATCATTAGTGGTAATCAATGTGAAAACAGTAAAAGTGGTATTAGAAGATATTCTTGGCCACCAACATGTTCGTTACTGTGAGCTTTGGTACCTGGTGCTCTAACAGAACTGTCATTATTTTTCATTTGATTTTAAAAGAATCTCGTCGTAATCAGGGGAAATTAAGTTCACTCTTCTTGTCACAAAAGTTCCTGTTCCTTAGGAAAGTTTCTTTATTTAAAGGCTGCGTAGATCTTAGATTTTGTAAAGAATCCAGACTGTTTCTAAAGCTGTAGCAGAAGGACCCAGTATTTATGCAGTCAACTGGGTCTGGCACCGATTAACTGGTGCCATTTCAGCACCAACCAGGAGCTGGGACAGATGAAAGCACCACTGTCATCAGGAGCAGAAGAGCAGCTCCTGGAGACCAGGAAACAATGAAAATAAGAGCACCCTGTTCAACACACCAGTCAATTTTCATATTGATCTGACAGATATAAGACCAAAAAACCTCAAAATCACTGAACATCAATATTAACAGCAAGTTGGATTTGAAATGAAATAGCATGAGTTCACTGTTCTCTTCTCTTCTGAGCTGTCAGAATGTCACCTCAATGAGCTGCATAGAGTGTTGTTTAAAAATCCATATGTTCTGCCGAATCCAGTTAATAAACAGTATTTATCATATTTATTTTAATTGCATTTCTGTTATGTTTGACTTTTCCAAAACTTTACAGTTGGTGTTTAGGTTAATACAGATTTTGAAGAATACATAAGCAGCAAGCCATATTTAAAAATTTCCTGTCAACTTCAAACATTTTTAACCCAAACACGGTGGGCCGCTGGATAACCGCCCTATTCCCCCTCACACTGGGCTTAGCAAGTTTTCTGGGGGAAAGAAGCCCTGCCATGCTAGTAAATCCTCCTCCAACACCCATAGTAAAACTGATGGCATTGTGAAGCTTTCCCAAAAACCACTTGTATAAAAACTGTTTGAACACACTCAGCTTGTAAAGGGGCAAAGACAACAGTATGATTTCAATCCAAAAGAAAAAGAAAGAGAGAGAAACAGAAAGAGAGACTAAAAAATAAGGAGAGCAAGAAAGAGAAACAGAGAAAGCCCCCTTCTGCCATTTGATAATATACAACTATATGAAGGCTTTAAATTATGATTAGTGTGTGCAAATGCACTAGAGTTGTGAGTTTAAGCTCATGGCATAGATATTATTAGTCGGGTAAAAAACCAGCCTCTTGTCCTACTATACTGCTATTACTATTATTCATCCTGACAGTCTGGGCTCTCGCTAAACGATTGCTTCCTGGAGGCATGGACTCTGTTGAAGTTTTAAATTTGACCCAATCACTAATATTTGCCCATGACATGTATAAGTAGCATCTCTGAACCAACACACAGCATGCCGTCTGCCAGGGAGAAATGACTGCAGCCAGCGTTCTAAAGAAAACTTGTCAGCAATCAGGACCATGCAAGCAGTTTTAATGAGCTTTATGACATTTGAAGTTCAGAGGGCTTTATACCTGGATAAAGCTTTACTGTGTAGGCTTACTTTATTGGCATAATAAATGGAGGCCTGGACCATCGTTTTATTACTCTGGTTGGTCTATAGAGAGTAATCAGAGCTGGTAGCTCCATAGTTTTGGCATGTAGTAAAGACAAAACACCTTCAGAAAACCTTCCTGGTGAAGCTGTCGAGTCCAAACTCCAGTCACATTTAACACTTGGTGGACTCTGATAGTTCACATGTCTCTGCTATGATGTCAGACTGTGATCACTATCTCTGAATATTTAAAGAAATCAATCACTGTAGTTTAAGAATAGTTTAATACTCCACTAACTCTAGTGCTACGCTAGTAGCACTCATTAAATCATTACTGTAGTAATGCTTAAAACCACTAACAACTTCATCCCAACTACAGGACTTTGGGATTTTATGTTGCAGTAAACTAATGTTTGTATAAGGCTGTGTTCACACTGCAGGCCTTAATGCTCAATTCCAACTTTTTGTGAAATTTGACTTTTTTTGTGTCACCGTTCACGTTTCCAAATATGTGCGATTTGAATGTGATGTCCTGAATGAACCTCAAACATTTCAGACAGCAGAGGATGCAGTAACATCACAGTGATCATATTCATTCTTTGCGGAAGTAACCATGGATGGTGATGCTGGAGCGTATCTTGCGATTTTAAAGCTGTCGAGTATCAATGACGTACAGGTCGGAAAGCTGGAACCTGGCCGTACAGACAGAGATCAGATACCAGGGTTTCCCCCAGTGTGTTATAAGCCTGGCGGGCTGCCAGGCTTTATTGATTCCTGCCAGACTAAGGATTACTTGTTGCTTTTTTATGCACCAGTAATTCTGGACTGCATTTGTTTCTGCAGCATTCTATTCCGCAGTTCACTGGTGGACTGCAGTCGTTCCAGAAAGATGGGTTATAGTTGATGCATTGCACTGGACGTGAAGCCAGGGCTGCACAAATCAAACTGTTGGTGCCTCTGTGTGTTGGACGTCTCATGCTCTGTCGTGGTTGTATCGCTGAAGTTTACCTTGGTACTGATCACGCACACCACCTCTCACTCAAAATGAACGACTTGGAATATCTTCTAGCAGAGCAGATTCACCTGTATTGGCATTTATATTAACTCCTTGTGAGAACCCATTAGTTTTAAAAGCCAGTGCTTGCTCTGCTAGTGCAAACTCAATATGAACAGCAAATAGTCATGCTTTTAGAAATGCGCATTGAGTGTATAGTGAATGATGTATTATTATGAACAAAAATAATGTGTGCATGTAAATTAAATTTAACACATTGTCATTCTCAATAAATAAATGTTAAAATTCTAGATTTACAATCTGTGTTAAAATGTTAAGATTTAAAGGGCCCCTGACGGCCCTTAAGCAGCTGCTTGGTTCACTTATGCTTTGGGTCGTCTCTAATTGAGACCAACATTACATGGTGTTTGCTGATCCACTGACTGATTACTTAATAACACAGCAGCCCCCTGGTGGTCAGCTTTGGAGCTCCTACCGCCTGTCTTAGAATGTTTTCTGGGAGAAACCCTGAGATGTGTAACTGATTTAGGACCACATATTCAAGTGACCAAGTGTAAAAATCTGATCTGTGTTGTATGGACTGTCGTGTAAAGTTCAAGTAGAGGTTGTATAAGGGCAAAAAAAAAAAAAAAAAAAAAAAAAATGTTTTGGCTCAACTTAGGCTTTTGGGTGAAAATAACCAAAGA